TCCCTGTATCATGTTATATATAGCCAGCGATGTATATAACTGCCATGTAATAACAGAACACTCTAACCCTCCCTGTATCATGTGAAGCAGCCTGGCATTACAGCTGGCATGGACGTTGCACTAAGGAGACAGACCCCTGATCAGCCTTGGACAAGGCAAACTCTGCCAGAGAGGAGACCGGGAACCAGTTGTAACCGGCACGGCTGTCCTCCGGACTGGAGCTCAGAGTCCTCCAGTTCCAGTGAAGAGGTGAGTGAGGGTGACATCACACTTGTACTTAGTGTGACCACGCAAGCAACAGATACCAGATTTAATGTTAATGTGTGAGCCATCCCTGAGTCATGGAAAGGGTAACACGTAATTACTGAGGTACAGGGCTAATTAGGGGTACGTCTTCTTCCAATGTCTAATACAACAAATATTCCCAATATTATGCAGCTCGGAAGTTAACTTCCTCTATTAGAGAAGAACATTATTTATAGAAGATACAGGAAGATTAATTTATCCACCCTGATCCAAGTAACAGAGAACGGTTAGGTGAATATCGTTCTCTGTTATGCACATCCTTCATGTTCGTTGGGAGGGTTTATATATCTCACTGTAGGGTTTCTGAAACGATTCTGTAGAATAGAAATCCATTCTTTCCTTCCTGTGTTCTAATTCTAGGATTTCCGTGAAATGAGAAACCAGCGTGCGAGCAGAAGACGGCCCCCCCTAAGGCACAGGCCAGGAGACGCTTGCCGCTTTCTGGGGTGCAGGTCACCACTAGGGTTCTACTCGGACAGTTCCAGTGAAGAAGACTGAGTCTTGGGGGGAAGCTCGTTGATGCCAAACCCAGAGGGAATTCTGCTGGGTAACTGTGTAAATCAACATTTGTGTGATACCATCACAGGGGGACAGTAATACTTCAGGAAAACCGTGGACTTGAGGCCACAAAAGCCATGTAAGCCATATAAGAGATGGGGGAGAATTTGTTCCAATTCTTTGTGTAGCCAATGAACCCCCACTGTTGTAGGGACAGACTGTATCTATGCATTCATCTTAATATCCAGTAGATCCACGGTAAAGCAGTCCATTATTATTCAGTTGGAGTTTGAATTTACCTCACAGTATCCTCAGCCAGCCAGGACTGTATTATATAAGCTCAGCAGTTATGTCATTAAATAAGTTACTGAAAAGGGAACAGTTAGTTATGGGCTGCAGTGGAACGAAATCTGTGGAGGGTTAATAGACGCAGGAAGGCATTGTGGTTAATGTAATTTCTATAAATATAACGACTTGGAGGGGACTTGCTCTCCACCTTTTACATTTTAATAAAATAATACGACAGACATATTTGTTATATTATTTAATGATTGTTAATGCAGCATTCAGTCAAACCATTAAACTCTGTTATAATCCACATCCTTGCTGGTGTCTCATTTTACGAGGCTATTAACACATTTGCAAAGTTTGGTTTCCTGCAACACTTGTGGATAACTGGGGTTTCCGCCGCCAGAGATTTCCTTTCCCTCTAGTATGAAGAGTGCTGAAGTATTCCCAAGCGGTACAGAAGCAGGTATAGCTGTTACAGCGGGTACATACTGTGGCGAAACCAACCTCGCCACTATGCACTGGAGAAGCCTGGTTGCCAGCCTCCTGCCATCTGACTATGGCCCCCTTGTGAATTCGTACTTTTGTATGCAATCTTTGGGCATGGGACCTTCTTATATTGCTGCTACTGGCCCTTTAAGGGCCATCCGTGAACATGTTCTGCCTGTTGGGAATAATGCCTTTTTAAGACTATGTAGCAAATTGCATTCAGGCTGTATTTAATATTATGTGTTCAGTATAAAGTGTGATGTGAATGCAGCATTCCCCTGATTGTTCGGTAGAATCACTTCATTCATTATATTGGGTGAAACTACCGAACAACCAGACCACCCGGGAGTAAGTGTGCCTCCAATTACCGTTTGCAACAATGTTGCAAACGGGTAAT